CGCTCAATCCATCGCTCAGCCTTCTGATATCGCCATTCAGCGGCAAACGTGCGTCGACCACGTCCAATTCATCCTCAATCTTGAACTGCCTGTTTACCGCGTGCAGAACGGACTCCTCGAGCCGATGAAAGCGCCGAAATATCTTGCTCAACTCTTCAAACCGAATGCTTCGGTGCTCGTAGATGCGACGGACCACTTCCTCGCCCAATATGCGATGTAACTTTGGCAGATTCTCTTCTAATTTTGAGTCTGGAAAGAAAGCGAGGGTTGGGAAGGTGTCTACGTCGGGAAACGTCTCGCCGTCTGGGACAAATTTTTCACTAAAAGCCGCTGTAACAGCTCCGATGTGGACTTGATGATCGTCAAAATAGCGGATGAGGTGCAGCATGATCTCATCCTGCAAGTCGACTAGTTGATCGAATTGGCATCTCAACCACATCTTCACCAAGATGTATCCGACGTTCGTCTGTTGTGTCGAGTATAAGCCTGTTTGTGATCGGAAGAGACTGACAACATCATCGGGCAAGCGACCTGTGCTCTGCCATGCACGTAGACTGTGGCTATGACCTGTTAGCCCACGACCATGACGAGAGCGAATTCTCGTACTTGGCTAATCTCACGAACAAAGACTTGGTAGTATTGTCGATGGTTTCAATAGCGGCCATAGCAATGGTATGGAACTGACGATGTCGCGACTGTTCATATGATAATGCTCCCAGCCCCGAAGGAAAGAAACAGATAGACGAAAGGGAGATGCTTTATACATCGTCGGTAGTGTCTAGGTGTGGTCTGGAGCGTCTCTCCGCTAAAGTAAATCACATGCTACACGAGTCATCTGCAAGCTGACGCAGCTACAAGTTGTGTGGTTCAAAGTGATAATTCGATTGAAAGTCAAGTCCAGGTCTCGGGAACCACTATTGCAAAGCCTCATGCTAGGCGGGAGAGTCCATGCCATAATACGGCGGGTATTGAATCAGCGCATTGAATAAGTCCGCGAATAGCGATTCATCATCGGCGCCTGCCGTCATCGTTGTCGCTTCCTCAATGAGATAGGCCGGCTTCGTATCATTGTCTTCGTCTGTGGGGCAGTTGGTTGCGATTTGCCGTGCAAGCAACTTTCGTTTCTTCATCGCAGTGCTCACGAAAGTCGTCGGAGCACAATGCATAAGATCCATTGCTACTCTGTTCCACGTAAGTCTTTGGCTCTTACTCATAGGGTAAGAAGCGTACACAGGCTGCACTTGCGTCGGATCAATATCCTGCCAGCATGTCTCGTGCTTAAGGTAGAAGGCCAGATCTTGTAGCACGAGCACCCAGTCCGCCTCATCGTATCGAGGATATCTTCTGGACATGTACAGTGGAATGTTCATCTCCGCTACAGAAGCCGAAGTTTGAGCTAGTAAAGAGCAGGAGCAGAGAAGACAGAGCGAACTATAAAGTCTTTGTATCGAGGTAATAGCCAAGAGGAGACCCTTTTGTGGACTAACTCCCCAGTCCTGATCCTATCAGAACCTGCATCAGTCTACTTAGTCCGCCCTATCAATTCTGAGCATAATTCCCGTGGCATTGTGTACTGTACTATGATCTAATATATGGGAGGGTTCGTACTTCAACGGATGACAGTTGATGCTATTAGCATAGGTTTTCCCACCGTCGTGTCAAGCGGCCCCAATGAACGCTCCCACAGTACCATTCGGGCTCTCGCAACAACACACGTAAGACCGAGGTGTTCGTTGCAAGCGAGCTTTGGGACTGTCGCTTTGTTACTTTGCCTCCAAACATCGCAAGGCCCTTAGGCCCGCGAGCGCTGACTTGCACTCTCTGGAGGTGGTCTCTGGCTTCGACCACCTCCGAACTTTGCTCGACAGCCTCTCGATCGTCTGTCGAGCAGTGTCAATTCGCATTCGTACCTGCCGAACACCCATGCTGTTGACATCCTGTATGACATCTTCCCCACGCCAATTTCGTCTTACGGCAGCGATAATGATACATGCGTGCGGCTGTTCTGATGCCTAGAAACCTGATTTCGAGCCCCATTGGAGACGATGCGATCGATTCCTTTCGCGCCATGCCGTCAGCGACTTCGTCAGCATCGAGGGAGCTACTTGTCTTCTTGTCGCTTGTCCTTGATGTCTGTGATAACTTGACCGCTCTTCTTGGCCTCAATGATCGATGCAAACGGACCATGGATCACGTCTGCCGTTGAAGTAGGCGACCAGCTTAGATCGTCGGTTTTGGAGGAGGCCCAAGTGAAGCAAGCGCGACTTGTACTATGAACGAGTTGTTGTCTCTAAGACAATGCTAATAGTATCTTCTTCATCGTGCGGCGAGACACGAGATCGGAAATCGTCACTGCTACAGAAGATTTCGTCTGGAATCACCTCGTTGCACAAGACCGCGAGGGTGAGGAGGGCTCGTTGAGCCACAACTGTCCAACACACGATCCGTCGCATCTCCATCACCACTGCAGCTGAACTATTGGTTGTCGTGTTGTAATGTCGAGGTGCATTGTGCCGCACTCTTTCAGCTCTCAGCCTCCATTCTGGTGTCACAGCTTCGGGTCACCTCTTCTCCCGATGGCAGAAACATTGGGCTACGAACGTCCGTATCGAAGAGGCTCGTGCTTCGCGCCCCCGTTATCTCGATCAGATTCAAGAGCAGCAAGTATACGACCCTAGTATCCCACATGGGTTCCGCACCCCAACTTTTGCCCCTTGGCCGCGCACGACAAGCCAGATCAGTCGCCGTATAATTAGCTTGTTGGACCGTCCGAGGGAATTCGAGAGGTCCTGTCTTTCCCATTTCGCGTGCCTCGCGAGAGTCGACCGAGTGAATTCGGCGCTTTTCTTGAGGTAATGTGCTGCCCTACAGAGCGCTCCTGCTCGAGTGTCTGCCTATCGTAGATGCATTTTAGATGCGGTTCCTGCGGCAGTCCTCGCAAACATTGATATAGCAATGGCGACATTGCAGGATGTACTTCCAATGCCGGGCGTCACACATTTCACATTGGAAGCCTCGCCTCCCGCCGCTGAGCAAACGCTGAAAACGACCACGGTGCTCACACTCATGGTTCTCCTGAAGCTCGGAATGTATGAGACGCACACGACGATTGCGCTCAGCTCGAGGCGGCCCTGCTTCTGCGTCACGATCAACAACTTCCTCCGCGCGCTCGATCATTCGGCCCTCATCCGCCACGTCACAATGACAATTCTTCCACCGTATGCCACAAACATAGCAGAATTCAGTCTTGCACCGGCATCTGGCGCGACGGTTTGTTGAATCACGAGCGCCTGGTATGCCTCTCGAAGAAGCCGTCATGAAAGGCATATGAGGTGCCGGATTGCCGTCACACGAAAGACACTACACTTACGTTATATAATTACAGCCGGTACGCAGTTGAACAAGCACATTACAACCAGGGCATGTTTGCCAACCGTTCGCCAATGCCAACTTTCTCGTCGCGCGCAGAGCCGGGTCGTTGGGACAATCACTACCCCTGTGGTATTCGTTGTTACAAATACAGCATGTACAAGTATCACAATTTTTGCAAGTGGCCGCTTTTGTTCCGACATGCATCAGTCCAGCTGGTAGGAATTTCCCGCATTGGCGATTGCTGCAATAAGTCCTGTCGATAGTAGCGAACTCTATGCTCGCAATGTCGTAAGCCTCAAGCTCATCGTCGGTCATGTGTCTCCTAACCAGTGTGGCATCGATAGGTTTCTTGCAGCAACGCGGAGGAAACAGTTCTTCGTCATTTGTAGCTCGTATGAAGAGCTCTTTCGCACAGTCAATGCAATACCGATGTTCGCATTGAACCTTCGCCATAGCATCGCATCGACGCGTTTCCCGGCAGACGCTACAAGTGAACCCTTGTGACAACTTCACTAGCAGATCGGCCTGACGTTCGGCAAAGGTCATTGAAGGGCCAGCCTGGTCTAGTTCATCGTCCGAAGTCGTAATCAACGCATTGGCCATAATAGTCTCAGCGACGACAGGTAGCCATTTGTCCAATAGTGATAGATCGCTCTCGGTGGCCTGCCCTGGATGTTCAAGATCCGGATCCTCATTAAGTCGCAGCGCCATTTCTCTGTCTTCATAAGCCTGGTGATCTTCCGAGGCCAAAGCTGCGATGATGGTTTCATCCTCATGTACGGCGGCGCCAATGCTTTGTGCAAACTTGCAGTCATAGAGGTAGTATTTGTGGATTTGGAGCTCTTCAACAGATGCCTCAAGGGCGACTTTGAAATCTGGCGGTTCCTCCGCGCGATATTTCCCCTTATCCTGCTTTGCGAAAATGTCGAACTCTTCCATTTGCAGGGTAATCATAGCGATGTCATCGTCAAAGGAGCACCGCTTGCCTGCCATCGTTGGGGTCGGGATTGGGACAGGTCTGCAATTGTCCGTCAAGGAAAGTAAGAGTCCATTGGCTCAAAGAGAGTGAATTGGGTCGTTGAACACAGGAAGCAAAATGGAGATGCTCTTGTTTCCCTTTCAGAAGTCTGGCGGCGGCCTGCATCGATGCGAACCATGTATCGCCTGGTAGGCGGGACGACGGTTTCCTGAACCTTAAGTGTGGCGAATGACAGCATGTCGATCGCTAGATTGCGTGGTGGAATCGCGTTTCAAGTAGAATTTTAGCACAACCAAGAAAACTCGTCGAACAGCAATCCATGTGTTTCCTAAGTCAGATCGGGCTTGCTGCCTGCCATTTGAATACCGAGATCGTCGCCCATCCACTTAGGACTGTGCGTCTTCTCGCCATCTGAACTGTGTATCACGCAAGACATTGTTTGAAATGACAAATAACATGCTGGCACTGGGAGACATCGATACGGCATTGGCCACGAGCCTCGCACTGCCATGGAACTTTTGTTCCAGATCCCTCTCTTGTGCTTGACTTCCTATTGAATAGGTCGGCTCGGCCGGAACCGAGACGAAAGAGACATTCTTGGCCATCTGGCTTCGAGGTTTACTCGCCTCGCTTCATCTCATCCACATTTACGATGCCTCATATCCCTGACCTTACAGCAGGTTGATCGGACCAATCGTCTCCAAACCCACCGTCGGCAAGATACCAGCCGTTACGGCCATCGCTGTCCCAGTATCCTGACTCCCGTGAGAATCCGCCCTCGCTCGAAACACAAGTGGGGCTGTCTTGTATCTAGGTTCGAACTATTGGGTCATCAGGCCTATCGTCTCTACACACTCATCGGCATCCAGACCAACGATTGTACGGTGCGAACATCTTCACACAAGGACTGCAAGATCGATGCTAGGCATGTTTCTCCTCTTCTTTGATTCCTTCCCGATTTTTGGCCTCGAGTGGTTGTGACAGCCCGTCCAACAGTGGGTGCTATAATCTGGTGACCCAATGCTAGGGTTTACGTCCATAGAATACGCCTATATAGGCCCATAGGTGCAGCCACGATGCGAAGATATCGGCAGAGTGAAATTATGCGAGTTGCAGGTGCAATGGAAGTCATTCTCCGTAGAACACCAGAGGAACATGTCGAGGTGACCATTCTGCTAGGCAGGCGCCGGGAACTGGCAGAGGGACCCTTCCCAGCGAGGAGTCTCTAGCGGATCTTGACAGCTTCGCAGATGTCATCGAGTCAGCCAAGCAGCACATGGGTGTCAACGAGGCTAGCACTGCGTGTACGGACGATGTCCTCCGAGTCGACATTTCCCGTCCAGATCGACCTCACCTCACCATTGTTGACTTGCCTGGGCTAATACATTCTCACAGCAAAACACAGTCTGCCGAAGATGTCCAGCTGGTACGGTCCCTAGTGCGGAGGTACATAGAAAGCAGCAGGTCCATCGTTCTAGCAATTGTCTCCGCCAAAAACGACTACGCTAATCAGCTTAATAAGAGCCTCGTTCCGATACGCAAGATTGATGTAGTCAAATCTCACCTCTGAAATATGGCCCGCCCATCATGCACGAGCCCGCCACGATCTAATGCTACGCAGACTTCTCCATCGGTTTTACGAGCTTTTGCAGCTTCTTTGGATGCTGAACCCGGCGAGAGAGGACCGTGCTGTCAAGCTCCCACTGCCAGCGACCAGTCTTAGGACTTTCTCTGTCATTGGCGTGATTGCTTGGGCGCTTTATCGTAGCTCTGCGACTTCGAGCATAGTGGCAGAACTGTCGGGCCGCTGCATTTCCATTTCTTGCGCCTTGGTTGATCTCGGTTTGAGGTTGTAGCAGCTGCTCCGGCGACACTAGTCTGATATGGTCAG